AAAAAAAACAGTCACTCTTCACAGACTTGTTTCACCCCCATTTCTTCCTTATGCAAACCCACTTTCCTTTATGGGAGATGAGTCATCTATTGACTCACYCCCTGGAATCCAAGGGAGCCTCTKCCAGTACTGACTGGAGGGGGGTTTAGACAGAGCTGAGCACTCCACAGAGTTCAAGTCAAATCCTGCTGCGTGGCACCACCCACCGTCCCTCAGCCACTGTGGAACCAAGAAATTCGTTTCCAATTTGGGGGTGGGGGTGCTTCATGTCAGGCCCACACAGGAGGGAGGATGCCACTGTCCTTCTGTAGTCACTACTTTAGATCTGCAGGTCCAAATTCAGAGTGGCCTCACTGCTCTGGAGCAGGAAGGTGGTGCACACCCGCAATCCCTGTGACTTGGGGGGAGGATCGCAGGTTCAAGGCCAGGCTTGGCAACTTGGCCAGACCCTGTCTTGAAATCAAAGGCTGAGGCTGAAGCTCAGTGGTAGAGCAGCCCTGGGCTCAATCTCTAGTATAGGCGGGTCGGGGAAGGACTGTCCCCAAAACCAGAACTTAGCCCTGGTCTGCACTGGTGAGTGGTGCCCAGTCCTGGATGAGAAGGGGTTTGGAACTCATCGGGAATGTACTTGAGGAAACTGAAACCAAACTCAAGAGGGCTCTGGAAAGCAGTCCATGTTCCAGAGGGTTATGGAAACGGCTATGTGTTCTAGAACGGGCTGGGCTGGAAGGAACTACCTGGCTCAGAGGACATAGGGAACTAGTTATCAGTTCTCCAGTTTGGGAGCTGGTCTGCATAGTTCTGTGCAGGTGTGGGAAGGGGTGCCTGGGTTCAGGATATGCTGACAGCTGGTTCTGGATTTGATTCTACATTGCTCTGGGGGAGAAGGGAGTCCCTTCTGGGGCAGGYGATCACTTCTAGAGTTAGTGTCAGTTTCTAGAACATTCTTTATCAGTTAGTTTCTTAAAGTGTTTGTGGGCCCACTCTGGAAGAGTCTCAGGTTCCGGGTCTGATAACTGGTGATCAGGTTGAAAATACTGAGCACAGGAGCTGTGTTTCCAAATGTGCCTGTAACCTGGGCTGACAGTCACAGATAGTCACTGTTTCCTGGCAAAGGGACAAAATCCAGAGTGTCTCTTTAGTACCTTCTATTCCAAAGCCAGGAGAGCTGCTGAGGGCAGCCCTCAGCCTACTGCCAGCTCAGGAGTCATCCTGCACCACCCAGACCTTGTTTCCACTYCTCCTGCCCCGGGGACACCTGGATGCCCCCATCTCCCAGACTGGTCCCAGGTCAGCGTCCGCCTGGGCCCCTCACCTCTGCCTTCAGGGCACTCTAGCCCTGAGCCAAGGCGGCTTTGATGGCAGCCACCAGCTTCAGAAACTTGCTCTCCGTGTCCACATAGCCATCACCTCTCTGGGGAAGGGAAAGAGAGAAAGGGTCAAGCTGGGACCCACACACCAGCCTCCGCCCCAGCCCTACTTGACCCCCAAACAAGACACACACAGAGATATACCTTCTTGGAGTGAACCAGCTTCCCGGCTACCATCACTTCAAAGAACCCGGTGACCTGGGGAGTCCCCTCGCCGCACTAAGCAGGGAGGACAGATTGGCGCTGGGATGCCCTCTTGGAAACGCTTCCCCTTCCCAGGAAGTGTRGGGGGAGGGTGAAGGCTGTGGGGCTAAGCCACCTCCACCACCTCCAGACCCTCAGACAGACCAGGGGCCCGACTGGCTCCTYGTCCACATCCCCGAGACTCACAATGTCCAGGCATCCGGGGAACTCATCTTCTAGCTTCTTCTTGAGCTGGAGATACTGGAAAGGGGGAGGAGATCAGAGCAGTGCCCAGCCAGCCCCCCAGATGCACTCCCCCGACTCAGGGTGCTTCCTGAGGGCCCCCGGCTTACCTTAGGCTTGTAGCCTCAAGCGCCACTGGTAGGTGAGTCCAAGTGAGGAGTTCCAGGACAGGCAGACAGGTAGACACAGGGAAAGCCAAGCAGTAATGGCAGGACAAAGGGGACCAGGAAGAGAAGAGAATAAGATGGGCAGAAATGACCAAGCAGAAGAGACAGAGAAGGGAAGAAAGACACATGGACACCAGAGTGTAATAGGAAACAGCAGAGAAAAAGAGCCAAGCCAGGCAAAGGAGGAGAGGGAGGCCGCAGACGGGGTGACCAGATCACAATYATGTGGCCACATGAGGCGGGGAAGGCAACAGGGAAGGAAACGGAGGGCACTGGGTTAGAACAAGAGCTGCATAAACAACATGCAACCTCGGCTGGGGCCCAGGCCCAGAGCACTGAAGGAAGCCCTGTCGCTCCTGGAACCTGAACACCTTCCAACACCCAGGATGCCATTTCCGGCTGGAATCTGGTGCACAGGCCTCCTGGGAACTCAAAATGTGAAGCKAGCTGTGCTTCTAACAGGCCACGGCATTCCCAAAACGGAGACCCACTGGATCCTGGGTGCRTGTCCAGACAATTGGGCCAGCCACCCAGGTTGGAGTGGCCCCCGTCTGAGCCAGGACCTGGACCTACTGCATTCCCCTCTCCCTGCCCCGTAAAATGAAGCTAGAATTCCCCTCCCTCAAAAGGCTCAGGGGGCAGTGAATTCATTGAACCGGTATTTATTAAGCACCTACTGCATGCTAGCATAGAATGAGGTGCCAGGGCAGATCCTCTGAGCGGAGGAAGTAGGTTCAAAGGCAGTGGGGGCYGGTGTGCAGCGCTCCCTGGGCAGGAGCTACTACGTTCGCCCTCTTCSCATTACCGAAAGGGGAACTGTGGCCCGAGAAGAGGGGTTGGCAGCACGGGCACCCACGGGCACCTGCGCGAGGGTTGTCATTTGCGTCTTTTCTAAACCCAGGAAGGTGCAGGAGGCCGTCCTGACCCAGGGGCTGTTCGCGGGCGGGGAATCGGAGCATAGCCGAGGGGTCGGTCCCAGGAGCGCACAGATCCACCCGACCCGCGGCATCTGTGGAGGCCACACACACGTCTCCGCGGAACCCTTCACAACCTGAGACGTCCCGCTCGTCCCAAACGGGGGTTCAACTCCCCGCGGCCCTCACCCCTCCTGGCCCCACCCAGCCGATTTTCTCCTCCCGGGGCCTGGGATCCAGCCCCCGACGCCTCATCCCGGCTCCGAGCGCACGGAAATCGCGGTAGGGAGAGGCCCCTGGCCTCCGCGCTTACCAGTAAATGACTCGGACTTTGAGAGTCATGATCGCGACGCAGCAGCCGCCGCACAGCGGACCTTCCGACCTGACCGAGCTCCGGGGACTCGCTACCGCTGTGTCTCGGGCACCGCGCACCCCGCTGGTTCTTCGCGCTCCGCGGCGCGAACCAATGCAGGGAGCGGGGGGATGCGGGGGACACCGCGGCGCCGAAGCGGCCACAGAGCCCCGCGGCCCGCGACCCGACACCCCCGGGGCAGCCTCCTTACTGTCCCCTTGTCGGGCTAGTCGGTGTCTGGATGGAGGGAGTTCCTGGGACAAGCCCTGCACGCATTCCCTTCCTTCTCCCCACCCCGCCACTCCAGCCAGCACGGTACAGCCCGGCGGGGCGGTGGCAGGGAATTGGCTGCGCTGATTGTCACGCTACCGCGCGGCTGGAAGAAAACGGAGGAGCCGAAGCGCGGGGAGGGGTTGGGACCTCTCCTACCCCTAGAGGCAACGGAGCCCCGAAAGGTTCGGGTAGGCAGTGGGACGGCGAAGGGGAGGCTGCGGGGTCCGGCGAGCTTTCCAAACCCAGCCGCCGGCCCTGAGGCGTCTCAAAACCATGTAGCCCTCCACTCTGCGCCTTCATCCCGGCTCCCCGCGAAGGGATGCACGGAAGGTCATGGAAGCAGGCTGCAGAGTTGAGGGCTCAAGACCCTTTCCTCTCTCTAAGCCTCGGTGCCCCACTCTGCGAGGTGGGCGTGATCGCCTGCGGGCGATGGTCTCTCGTTTCACCGCCTCGCTGGGTGCCCCCTGCTGCTCTGGCTCCCGACTACACGTGGATGAGGAGGTACCAGCTTCACCTTCTACCTCCGGGGTCCTCGCTTGACCTCTCCTGGCAAAGTTCACGTCCCCCTCCATCTTCCTCGCTGGCTGGTTATTTTGGGAGGATTAGAGACAGGTACCTCCACAGGCACTCAAAAGAAAGAAAAAAAGCCAGGTATGGTGGCGCACGCACACCTGTAATCACCGGCTCCAGAGGCTGAGGATGAGGAACCCAAGTTCAAAGGCAGCCTCAGCAACTTAAGGAGACCCTGTCTCTAAAGTAAGCATAAAGCCAGGCGTGGTGGCGCACACCTGTAATCCCAGTGACTTGGGAGGCCTAGGCAGGAGTTCAAAGCCCACCTCAGCAACTTAGCTAGGCAGTTAGCAACTCAGCGAGACCCTGTCTCTAACAGAAAAAAGGCTGAGGGTGTGGCTCGATAGTTGAGCGCCCCCATGGGTACTAAAAAATAAAAGGAGTGGAGGATGTGGCTCAGTGGTAGAGCACTTGCCTAGCAAGTGGCAGGCACAGGCCCCTGATTCAAACACACACACACACCCACCTGTACAAAACCTAGCCAAACCAAACCACCAAGATATCTTTGCCTTAACATTTTCAAAGATAAACTAGATAAGAGAAGGAAATTGTTGGGGGATCAGGGCAAAGGACTCAAGACAAATCCAACCCCCTACCCCTGAGCTACTTCCTCAGCCCTTTTTATTTTGAGATAGGGTCTGGCTAAGTTACCAGGCTGGCCTTGAACTTGTGATCCTCTAGCCTCAGACCTCCCCAGTCGCTGAGATTACAGGTGTGCAAAGCCATACCCGTGTATTCTCTTAACAGCTGCAGTTACCTTATTGCGGGCAAACACGATTAAAAGAGATACAGCATCAACAGGATAGATGTAAAGTTTGGCTCTAAACTGACACTGACCATCTCTCAAAGTGCTCACGCGGGGGAAAAAAAAAATTTTTTTTTTTTAAAGATCTAAACTCCATTAAAATTTCTAGACACACTGGGCACCGTGGCCTGTAATCCCAGCATCTCAGACGGCCAAGGTGGGAGGATCGAGAGTTTAAAGGGAGACTCAGCAACTTAGAGAGACCCTGTCTCTAAGTAAAAAAATGTTTTTAAATGGCTGGGGATGTGGCTCAGTGATTAAGTGGCCCTGGGTTTGATTTCCAAAACAAAAAACATCCCAATCCCTAACTCACCTCTTATAACCTTACACATAAGTAAAAAATATCTTCTTGCTTTGTTTGGGGACCTAGCCTAATTCTATCAGTGCTGTGTCCCCTCTTCTTGAGGCTAAGCCACCCAATTAAAGCTTTACCTGTGTGCTCCTGCTCTCTGGCCCAATTTCATTGCGGTGCTCACTGGGTCAGAAGTTCCCATCTCTGCTGGGGATGTGGCTCAAACGGTAGCGCGCTCGCCTGGCATGTGTGCGGCCCGGGTTCGATCCTCAGCACCACATACCAACAAAGATGTTGTGTCTGCCGAGAACTAGAAAATAAATATTAAAAATTCTCTCTCTCTCTCTCCTCTCTCACTCTCTCTAAAAAAAAAAAAATTTAAAAAAATTAAAAAATAAAAAAAAAAAATTGGGGCTGGGGATGTGGCTCAAGCGGTAGCGCGCTCGCCTGGCATGCGTGCGGCCCGGGTTCGATCCTCAGCACCACATACCAACAAAGATGTTGTGTCTGCCGAGAACTAGAAAATAAATATTAAAAATTCTCTCTCTCTCTCTCCTCTCTCACTCTCTCTAAAAAAAAAAAAATTTAAAAAAATTAAAAAATAAAAAAAAAAAATTGGGGCTGGGGATGTGGCTCAAGCGGTAGCGCGCTCGCCTGGCATGCGTGTGGCCCGGGTTCGATCCTCAGCACCACATACAAACAAAGATGTAAACTAAAAAATAAATATTAAAAAAATTCAAAAAAAAAAAAACTGGAAAATAAATATTAAAAAATTCAAAAAAAAAAAAAAAAAAGAGGTTCCCATCTCTGGCATCAGACTTAAGGAGCAAGTATAGGAACAGCAATTAGCACAGGGCATGGAGAAGTGTGAGTGCCTCATAAATAGAGCCAGTGCCCTCAGAACAAAGACCCAAACCGTAGCATGACCTACTTCTCCCTGGTCCCAGGGTGCCTCTCTGGCCCCTCCAATGCTGCCAAACCCAGCTCTACTGAGATTTCATCAAGGACCTCACCCACAGCCCTGCCTCTGGGCCTTTGCACATTCTGTTCCTGCCCTCTGCCTCCTGCTCATCCTCCAACATGTAGAGAAAGTCCTGTGCCTTCTGGGCGGTTCTCACCAAGGACAAACCAACTGGCTGAAACTGAAAGTAATTGTCTTACGGAAGCCAGAAGTCTGAGATCAAGATCAGGACTGGTTCCTTCCAAGGACCCTGAGGGAGACTCTGGCCTGGTTTCTGGTGGGTCGCTGGATCTCTGGCGCTCCCTCCCTCCGTGGTTGCAGAGACCCCAGCCGGTCTCACCTCGTGTTCACGGGCCATGTCCGCGAGTGTCGGTGTCCACGTGCCCTGGTTTATAACAACCATGTTGGAGCAGGGACCCGCTGTACTCCAATGTGACCTCACCTTAACTAATGACATCCCTAATGACCCTATTTTCAAATAAGGTCACGTTCAGAGGTTAGGGGGTTAGGATTGTCACATAGGAATTTTGCGCAGGACGCGGTTCAACCCATAACAGCACTGTTCAGAGGCCCCAGGTGATCTCTCTGGGGCTCTATAGTGCATACCAGTGATGGCGGGGACAAGCAGTCCCTTGGCACGGCTCAGTGGCAGAGCACTGCCGGGACCTCACGAGAGGAGGGACATTCCTCTTCTGTCACTGAGAACAAAGGGGCCCTTGTGGCCCCTCAGGAGAGGCCAGAGAAATCAGTGGCCGCAGGCTGGCACTCATCTGTGCCCCCGTGTGTCTCACACACACAGCCCCCAGGGGGACACCAGCACCCCTTCCCCCGACTGCACAACTTCACATTCGCCCAAACCCAGCCCAACTGAGACACAGTCACATCAGCACCCGTCTTTATTCAGCCACAGGTCACCACGACAGCCCGTCAGTGGCCAGCCACGTCACGACACATCCACAGGCGCAGCCACCGCCAGCCTGCTGCAGGGTGGGATGGGTGACAGTACCCAGCGCCCAACACAGGACACACATGTATCCGCCCAGGAACACAAAGGCCACCCAGAGAGCCAGCCCCTGGGACCCACAGTCAGGTACCAAGCGCCATGCTGCACAGACTCCATTGCTAACGCCCATGACACACAGCAACTCAAAATGCCACCAGCCCTGCAGAGACACAGCTGCTCAGTAACATGATAGGGCATGCTGTCATTCATCCAGGGACAAGACATACATTGCTGCACTTGGAGGCGCGCGCGCGCGCACACACACACACACACACACACACACACTCACCCAGCCGCACTCCCAGGCTTTCACATGGATCTCGAACACCACAGCACAACACAGACCCACAAACACCACACGGACATGCTCAATAGAGACGCTGTCACTCAATGACACCATGCACTCTGTCCCCCACTTAGAGATGCATGGTAGCCTGTGGTTCCTACCTCCTAGGTCTCTAAGTTTATCGAAAATAAATTTTATAAGTAAGTGGCCCATCCTCTGTAATCCCAGTGACTCCAGAGGCTGAGGCAGGAGAATCTCAAGTTGAAGGCCAGCCTGGGAAATGTAGGGAGACCCTCAGCAATTTAGCAAGAGCCTGCCTCAAAATAAAAATAAAAAAGGGCTAGGGATGGAGCTCAGCAGTAAAATATCCCTGGGTTCAGAACCAAAAGGAGTTCCAAGGGCCAGGGCAGGGCTTTGTGCCTAAGTTCCCAGCAATATGGGAGGCTGAGGCAGGAGGCTGACTTGAATTCAGGAGCTGGAGACCAGACTGGGCAAGATCCCGTCTCAAAATAAATGAACAAATAACTGAAATTTTTGTTTGTTTTGTGGTGCTGCAGATTGAGCCCACAGCCTGGAGCATCCGGGCAAGCGCTTCACCACTGAGCTGCACCCCCAGCCCCTGGCTGTTCTTTTAGATCTTGATTTCCTCTCCAGATCTGATTTCTCTACCTCGTCTACAGCAGTCATTGCCACATAATCCCTTTCGATGAAGATTCATCTGCACGTGGGACGGGGCCGGGGGAGTGCAAGAAGGAGTTCACATAGAAGTCTGGGGCTGCCGTCCTCATACAGCTCTGCTTGCAAGATCCACTCTGATCTGCTTGCCTCTAGGAAATTTGCTGGTACATGCATCCCTCCATGTCCTAATGATTAGAGTGGCTT